TGGGAGATAACAAAGAATTTGTGAATGGTGCTGTGCGTATCAAAGGCATCTTCAGGGCCTTACAGCCCAAAGATGATCCAGATGCTTGAAATGTGCACATGAATGGAGTAGTGATCAGGGAAAAAGGAAACTTGTGCTTCTCATTATTCTCCAGAATGAGTTTTTTAGTTCAGGAGGGGAACAGCTGGCTCAAACTGAACTTGCTGTCTACCAGGACCCCCAGATCCCTTTCCAAGGGCTGTTTCCCAGCCTCTTGCTCCCCTTCCCCACTCTGACAGCAGCTCTGCCACATCCATCCCAAGACACTTTGTTTGTATCATCTTCCCAAACTTTCACGCACAGAAATTAAACCCTCCTCCCCAGGACACAAGTATGGTGGAGTTTGGAGTGGAAGGAGGTGATGTGGAAGGTGATGTTGTCTCATTCCAGACTTAATCAAGTTCCCTTCTCAACTGTCTTCATGCCGAGGTTGAAAGTAGAATTTGTGAGTGTCTTCCTCAGCCCTTCATTCTCCTGTCCCTGTGGTGTCACTCACCTGGTGGGCAGTCTGTAAATCCAGCTTAAATAAATCTTGGTTATTTACATCAACTCTAACAGTTATTTTTGACAAGATTGTGAGAGGCCCATCTTATTTCTTACCTTCATTGTCCATCTTGTACTAACCTGAAGGGACTAACTCCCTGGAGGGGGTTGTATAATTTTTGTCGTCTGTTGTATAATTTTTGTATATATCTTCAGGTTTTGGGGAGGATTGCAGAGCAAATTTTCCTTTGGAATCACTAAACATTTCTTTGGAACTAAAAGACACTTCTCATCTGTCTCCAGTCAATATTTCATGCCCTGAATTTATGGTAAGGGAACAGTCTTGTAACTGGCAATCAGGAATGTCATCATTGAAGTTAGTGATGTAAAAAAGAGCTGCAGGGCTGGGAGGTGCCAGGACACTCTCACTGCTACTCCAAAATCTCTGCAGATGGACTCTGAGGGCTGCCTGGTGTTCTGTTAACTGGCGTTCACATTGGATTTCTGCTTCTCTGTGGAATAAAGACCATATGGGAGCCAGAAGAGAATAATTTCAATCCCTTGCTTGGTGATTTTATGTGACAAGAGTTGTCAAATTTGTGGTGTTCTGTCCTTTCGGATATACAAATGTGGAGTGAGGCAGGACCAAGGTTAGGAGGGGGTTATTTTTGGAGGGGGTTATTTTTGCAACTTCTGAAGCAAAGATTTTAGTGCTGATAAAGTACGGGCACTGACAGAAGCTGTCACCGTCCAGATAAAACCTTTTTTTTCCGTTTTTTTTCCCTTATCAGCAGCTGCATATAGCATCTCCCCATTGGTAAAACAAATCTGATAAAAAAATGTAGTTGTAAGCAGCAACGATTTTATCCTGGTGAAAAGATTTTATCCAACAAGAAAAATGTTGTGCCTGGGCATAATTTTTCAGATATGATGAACAACAGCGTGGTATGACCTCAGTCCTAAGGATTTTGTTTTAAAAGAACTACTGAGCATATCAGATATACTCTACTTTTTCCTCTACTGTAATTTTCTTTTTCATTGGCAGAGTTGAGTTTATAGATACATCTTGACAAAAATCTGCCAGAGGCAAATTTCAACAAAAGAACAACTTCAAAACACACCCAATTAACAATTTATGAAAGGAAATACAACAGAAAATTACACAGAGATTCACAGGGCATAAAATTTGGCACTAAATCAAATTTATTGTGGAAATGCCTGTACAGGGAGTTATGGCCCCTTCTAGTGCAGTGTCAAAGGGAACTTTATCTGTGGAGGCTCAGCGAGTGCCCTCCATCTGATCTTTTCTTGCTATAAATAAAATGTTTTGTCAGACATAGCAATGAACATAACTCAGAAGGGAATGAAGAGCACTGATAAGCCCAGCTATATGCAGCTTTCAATCAGAAGCATTAGAAGTGATTATATTTCTTCAGATTTAAGATTTTTAGAGTTTCAGATTTAAGATTTTTTTTTTTTTTTCACTTTATCACAGAAATGAGGGGCTCAGTACCATGGACAGCACAAAAGAAAAATCACTTTTTTTGTTAGCACAGCATACAGACCCTGATAGCAGGTCATGGTGACTGTATTTAACATTATTATGGAACCATCTTTATGTCTGGAAGGAAATATCAGTCCCTCTGCATCCTGTTATTTCACTGATTTACTCATTCAGCAGCCGTGGTTGGAAACTTTTTTTTTTTTTTTGGAAGATGTTAAGGACACAAACACATGTAATTGCCTTCAGCAGCTCTGAAATTAACTTAGGTCACTACTTTGTTTAGAGAAAAAGATTTGCCTAGACCTTTACCTATTTAAACACGTGGGTAGCTGGTTTTCTTCTGAAAGATGACTGAGCAGCAGCCCTTGCATTGTGTTTTGTCAGTAATTTGCAGGGTTATTTACAGATGCCAGGCCCAGCAAGTGAGGATGACAAATAAAGTTGACACAGGCCAAATTAAAGCATATTTATGGTACAGCTGTGTTATTCCATGGACTCACCTAATCTGAAGAGCTGGTTGCTGCCTCTCCTGTTATCCCTGGGCTCCCACATCAGAAACATTTGGTTGCTTGTAAATTTGTTGTCTTCCACTGAAATTCAGACCTGCATAGGACAAGTGTGGCTTTGAGTGTCCATTTGTGGCATTGAGTTCCTTGGTGCAGCATCCTTGCTGTGACCAGAGCACACAGATTTCACCAGAACACTTCTCCTCTGTCTCCATAAGGAAGATTCTTGGGATCTTGCAGCCCACTTGGCCACGTGCAGTTTGCCTCTGCTCATCTGAGCCCACTGGTGAAGATGAGAGGACTCCTCTGTCACCAGATGAAGCATTAGATCACCCCAAGGGTTTTTTTCCAGAGTCCATTAATACACTCTTTTGGCACTGAAACAATCTACCAGGAAAGTTAGTGTCCAAGGCACGTAATAATTAGTGAATAAAACACCCCTAGAGTATCTTAATCTTATTAAAATATGTCTTATAAAGTGTAAGTTAATCTTTAACCTAATTTTAAATGATGATTTTCTTCCTGTAACACACCCCTTCTCAGTAGATCCCTGGAAAGCAGAAGGTGAAACAAAGTAAGAAATTAATGTGAAAGATTTTCATCTTCTGCTCATGTTTTGAAAAATGTTTTGTTTGATGCTGATTTTCCTATTTCCTTCTACTTATCCCATCACCCCACTTCCTTCACCATGTTGTGTTACTTTCCTTGTCTTCAACAAAGTATGGTGATAATAATAATTAATTTCATAAGACAAAGTCTAAGTGTAGGCAAATGCAAAAATTCTTTTTTTCCTAAATACAGGAATTACATACTTTTTAAAGAGTTAAAGCAGAGTTAGAGAGTTAAATAAACATTTCTAGACTCAAGTCCTCCCAGGTCTTCCAGTTCTCCAGTCCTGTGCCTTTCCATCTAAATGCCCCATGGCCTCACTTCCTGTTCACACTGTGGTAATTCAAGGGAATTAATACTTTTGAAGATGTAGCCACAGTAAGATAGCAAAGGCTTTTATTTTTTGGGCACTACTCCCAGTGTTTGGGCTTCAGATAAACCCAGATTCAGAGAGCTGAACATCTCCCTGAGTACTTGCTTTCTCCTGTAGCTTTCAGGGGCTGTGGGGATGTTTAGGTCAAGGATGTGCTGTGGTCTCTGCCATTTATTTTTTCAACTTCAGAGCATCAGAAGCACTTGGTTTGCTTTTCTTTGTAGCTTTTGGTTAAGAGTCAAAGCTCAGCTCAAGACCAAGTTAGAGGACCATGAACATTGTTTGAAGTGGAATCCTCATGCAGTTGTAAGGTTGGAGCTTTCAACAGCACCTCTGAGTCTAGAACTTGATCTCAGCCTACAAACCAACCTTGAGTCAGTTCATTCTCCAAGTCCAGTCAGGACTGAACCTCACACAGGCTCAGGACCTAAAGGCTGGGTCAAAAAGACCTTTTTAAACCTCTGCTCCTACTTTTTCTGCAGATCTGACCAGTTCTTTAACAAGAATATAAGTGAAGCTCCCAAAATAGAAGAAAATGGTATCATGGGGCTTACAAAACAAGTTAGGGGCTTTAAGAATAAAAAAAAAAAAAAAAAAAAAAAAAAAATAAAAAAAAAAAAAAAAAAANAAAAAAAAAAAAAAAAAAAAAAAAAAAAAAAAAAAAAAAAAAAAAAAAAAAAAAAAAAAAAAAAAAAAAAAGGAGAGAAACCTATTAAATAGGCAGATAGCCCATGGGTGGATGATTTTAATCTGAAAGAGGAGATATTTAGATTATATATTAGGAAGAATTAATTTCCTCAGAGAGTGGAGAGACACTGGAACAACGTGCCCAGAGCAGCTGTGGCTGCCCCATCCCTTGAAGTGTTCCAGGCCAGGTTAAAATGATCTTTGAGGTCCTTTCAGTCCCAATCATTCTGTGATTCTATGCCTGGGATCAGATGTGTCAAAAAAAACATGTATATTCTATAGAGTGAACACCACGAACCTGTGAGTTGCTCAAGCTGATCACTTTGCACTCAGTGATTTCCCCTTTTTTTAAGCTGTGCCGTTTATCTCATAAATGGAGAAGATCGAAACCTTTGTATTTTGAGCATTGCAAGTTGGATCATAAAGCCTTCAATACAAATGAGTAGGATTTCTCTGTGCCTGAGAAAGTGTCTAATTCAGGAAGAATTTTCAGGGAAATTAAACAAGGTAAATGCATTATTTTTCAGCTGCACATCAACATTGTGTTCTGTCATAACTGTGGAAAATTGAAGTTAGTTACTGGGGCCTAAAAGTAGCTCAGGAGATCTGATTTCAGGTCCTGACATTTCCTTTGTGACTTGAAATGTTTCCTCTCATGTAATTTACTTTTCTCCTCTTCACCTTTCCTCCACTGTTTATGCCATCTCTTATATCAATATTTCCTTTCCCCACACTAAAGCTGCGTAAAACTGGAAAACATTTACATTTCCTTTGCTCTCTTTCCATTCTCCCATCTCAGCAGAGCCCCAAGGCCCCCTTCTCTGACCTGCCTGATGATGAGAAGATCTTTAACGGAGGCGATGGCGTGTGGCAGAACCAGGGCCAGGACCAAGCCTTGCTCTCGGAAATCACGGAGGAGGATTTGGAAGCCATCCGCCAGCGGGAAGAGGCCATCCAGCAGATTGAGGTCAGTAACCTCCTCCCACCACCAGGTTTTGTGAGCTGCAAGTGCAGAATCCTTGTGTCGTGCCTTGCTCAACGTGAAGGAAATCCTGATTTACGTCGCTGCCAGTAGAGTGTCGCTAAAAGCGTGGGAGATTACCAAGAGTTTCTAAACGTGGGAATCGGTGATAGAAGGAAAAGTTGGAAATCTGTATGATTTGTAATGAAAATTACAAGAGTTAATTGATGCTCATGGGCTGATGGTTGGGTTCTTCCCAGTGAGGTCTGTGGTGAGGTGCTTTAATTGATCTGAGTTCTGCAGCAAAACAACTTCAACAACTGGAATTTGTCACAGGCAAAAAACACCCAGCTTTACCATTAGAGAGAATAATAGCTAGACAAAAGGAAATAACTTGTTAACCTTTTCAAATTATTCAGTATTTTGTTGTATCAAAGTATTTGGACGTTCTTGACGTAGTTAAAAGAGGACATACTATTTTTATTCGCCTTTTTTTTTTGAAAGCGCTGTAAAAATATTCGATAAAAGGAATAAAAAGAAGCTTGAATAAGTCAAACATCCCACATTTTTCTTTTTATACTTCCCTTTTTATGCTTTTGGGAAACTCTTGTTAGTTAAATTTAAGCGATAAATGAGTAAAACAAGAACATGTTAAGCCTTCCTAATTTGTATGCTTTTACAGACCTAAACTCAAGATGAACCAAAAAAAGAGGGCTTCAGAATAATCAGAACATTTAATTAAGGGCTATACTTTGTCCTTTAATTGGATTGGGCTAATTTTATCAGGATAGATTTTGGGTTGCAGTACAGCAGGAATTGTGATTGAGTTAACAGTGCAAAAAGAGGACAAAAGTTCCTGCTGGGGGCTGGTGCTTTGAGGTTGGGACCTCTGTTTGCAAACAGTGACAGACACATATGACTCAGCTGTCCAAGTCAGAAGTTTTGACAGTTTTACAGGATCAGGTTGAGGTCAATGTTTGTCTAATTTCTGTTGTGGTTCACTGAGCAGAGGTGAATGAGCTCTGTGGACTTGTGTCCATTACTAGGGGTGAAACTCAAAGAATATTCTCACACTGAGTATCTTTGGCTGTGAATTGTCATTTTGCACTTTTAGGGATCTCAGTGCATCCAGCAGGACAAAGTGTAGGGAACTTTGTTGTAAAGAAAATGCATGTTTTGGGGTGTTCATGCACTTTGATGTTCAGGAGGGATGGTAACAAATGTAATTCTGTGCTCACTGGAGTTATGTAAGAAAAATCTGAGTAGAATCTTGTGCTGTATTGTCTGGGATGATTCTGCTTCAGCAGGGATGTTGGACCAGACGACCCCACTGTGGTCCCCCAGCCATTCTGTGGTTCTGTGATTTTGTAATCCCTTTTGTTTGAAAAATATATATACTGATGCATTCTCAACCTTTTTTTGTTTGTCTTTACATTGTCCCTGTCCTCCCCAGGAAAAAACCCATATTTAGTAGTTGCCCATTAGGCAGTGGGGAATGACAACCCCCAGGGCTGCCTCAAGCACACCAGCTTTGTGAAGTCAAGAAGTGCAGTTGTGTCTCCTTGGAGAGATCTTTATTTATTTTGCTGGTTAAATCCCATTTCTGTGCCACAATCTGATGTCTCTGCACCAAGCTGCACAGGACGATGTGGCCATGGTGGGGTAGTTGAGGGGAGTGAAGTGAATCCTAAGTAACTTAAAAAAAAAAACCACCTATGTTCATGTATTGTGCAGGGTTTGTATCTGTTGATTTGATCCTGGATACCTTTCTGCCTAATATGATTTTACCTCTGAATAGTTTAGTTTATGCAATTAATGGTTTAGTCAGCTTAAGCAGTTAATGATGTTTTTTGCTTCCTGGGAATTACCCATTTTTCCCCATCTCCTCTATCCACTTTACTTTGCTCTCACAGATCCCTGTTCATTCTCTAACTAGGACTGCATTCCACAAACATTATTTCAAATGTAGTTTAAACATTTCTCCTCAGGGAGAAAATATTTAGGACCAATGGTATTTTGCTTAACATCTCTTTTGAAAGAAATATAATGAAAATGAGTTTTTTTGGAGAGCATTGTTCGTCTTCCCAGCTGTATTTGAATAAGCAGATGGTGCTTTTAAATAATTTTCACTGTGTTTTGTTTTTCTGTTTGTTGACCCACATGAGCATATTTCTAGTGAAAGGACTCATCTTGCACATTAAAACTTCCCTGTTTTCAGTAGAAATTGTGGGTACACAGAGGATTCCTTGAGCTCACAGTCACCACAACAATTTTTTTCCAGTATATTTTCACAACCAGTGAGTAGCCAAGAAGGTTAAAATTACACATTAATCTGTCAAACATAACTAATAAGCTAAATTTATTGCCAATTTGATGTATAGCATTTGTTGTCCTTTGTTCTTTGGGGACCAGAATGAAGAACAGAGCTGTGTGGAATTTGTTTTGTGCAAATAGATTGTTTTCACTGGGATTTCCATGTTGCTGCATATGCAGCACCAGAAACATGAGATTTTGAGCAGCACAGGAGACATTGAAAGACATCACAAAACTTTACATTACACAAAACTTTAGAGAAGCTCATGGTGCTGGTACCAGTCATGGGACTTTTTTTTTTAAAGACACTGAATTTGCCCTTTTTGCAAGAAAAGCCTTCTTCTTTGCTGAAGAAATAAGGAAATAAATTCTCTTCTCGTTTGTGTCCTGAAAGACAGATATATAATTGTGCCTATAATAGACATTTTCTTAATCTTCCAAAGACTTCTTCCCACTTGTGTGCTTTCCATGTCTCCAAAATCTCTTCAGAGGTTTGGGTTAATGGAACATTGTTCTCTCTCAAGAACATCCCTCGAGGCACTTTGCAGTTCACAGTTTCCACCTAGACAGATAACAGCCAAGTCAAAAGTTCACCTGGCTGTTCATTTTATTTAAATGTGCTCCTTTTGCTATTGCTTGCAGATTAAAACCAGAGACGTCTGCAAGGGAGACGTCTCACCAAAACCTTACACTTTGGAAAAAGATCTTTATTGCTTGGAAATGTCAAAATCTGGTAGGACACAGCAGCCTTGACACAAGTGTTATTTCTTAAAATATTGCTTTGAACTGTTATATAAAACCTATTTTAACTTGAACTGTATTGGCAGTGAATAATAGATGCCATAACAGCTTTATATATAGCACTGTAAAATGTGCCATCAGAAATACATGAGCTGAACTGTAATGTGCATTGTCAGTGCTCAGTGCTGGCACAAGCTCTGTCATAGCAAATACAGATATAATAGATATAATTTACCACCCCATACCTTTCATTTGCACCTGTGGTCATCTGAAAAATGGGAGGAGATAAAAGTTTGAGAAGAAATGGATAAGCACTGAATGGGGAACTTCAGAGAATTTCAGCTGGGGACTGGAAAGATCTATAAAAAAATATTCTAAATGCTGTATTGATTCAGAAAGCCTCCCATGATCATCCCCATGCAGACAGCTTCCCCAGGGGTGATGAGAAAGGAAAATGAGGGAGAACTCCCCCAAGATGGTCCACCAGCCCTTTTCCTCTCTCACAGCAGTTTCCCACCCCATGCTCTGATTCCACAGAGTGGGCATTCTCCTGCCTTGGAGAGTGGGAGGTGTCACTTCCCATGGCACAGTGGTTGGAACAAGATGATCTTTAAGGTGCTTTCCAACCCAAACCACTCTGTGATTCCATGATATCCTGAAGGAAGCAAAACACATCCCAGGAACTGCATTTTAGTTGATGCATCCCTTGGCAAAAAAGGAGAGATGGGTAGGTTATGGCAACAGGTGTGGGGAAAATGCTTTTATTTTTAGGAGAGGTTGTTCCCTCTGAGTTGTTGCTCAGGAATGTTGATGTTTATTCCCTTTCTGTTTTGAGGACAAGTGATAGATGCCAGCCTCCACGCCTGTCACTCAAGCCTTTGTAGGCAGACAGAAAATGAAGCACAATAAAAATAAAACAAAAGAAAGCCCCACAGAGTCTGGCAGAGCGTGTTTGTTAGTTCAAACATGTTCCTTGTTCCCTCATTACTACGTATCATTTCTTGCTGAGGGCTGTTTTCGGTAAAATCTCTCACTGATGGCTGCAGTTTAGAGGGTTTAGTGCGAGCTATTTTATACCTTTCATCAGCTTCAATAGTCCAGAGCTTTGACTTCGGAGGGCTGTGCCTGTCTCTTCACAGAGGCTTTTTGACTCAGAGTAATGTATAAATAACACAAGATCATGACAAGCACCATCCGTGAAGGATCTGGCGCCGTGTGAGTGTCAAGCTGTCCTCATGACAGCGTTGGGGACCCTAATTATCCTGAGCTGCAGAGCTGCCTGCCAGGTTGACATGGCCATCCCTGGGACTGGTATTGAGTTGTTCCCTAAAGAACCAGCTCCAGTATGCCACCCAGTCTAATTTAAAATGACCCGAGCTGCAGGACTGCTGCCATTTATTTCGGGAGACTATTTCACGGTCCAGCAGGCTTCGGTGTTGATGAAATGCTTCCCTCTGTTCTTGCTAAAGATCCCTTTCTCATTCTCGCCTTTTTACACCTAGTGAAACTCTGCTGGACCCTGCAAATAATTCTTCTTCCCCTTTGGCTTTAAACACTTCAAATGTTAGCAGTTCTCCTCCTCTTCACAAGTTGGTCTCCCTGGCTTTTCAGTCACTTCAGCGCTCTCTTCTCAATTATTTCCCATTTGTTAGTTCTTTGCTCCTGCAGCAGCAGACTGTATATAGGATTTTGGTGTTGTACCAGAGCTGAACAGAAGAAATGCATAAAAAGCCCTGTGGATCCAATTCAGAGATCACAAATTTTGATGGAAAGTTTCTAGATAATTTCTGCACTAGTAAATTAAACTCGCCAAAGACACTGGAACGTGCTCATTACAGTTTTTAATTGCTAAGCATATTCTGACACACTTTTGACCCAGATTAGCCAGTGCTTACCCAGTTATTGACACGGTTTGAGAGGTAATGTTTTCTAGAGGCAGTTTTGGTGCAGCC